ACAAACGCCACAAGGTCACTTTTTAGCTAGAAACCTGTCACGACTTCTAGATCAGATGGGCTCCAATCTTTTACAAGTTGAAACAACAAGCTTTATTGATGACGCTAAAGCTAAATATTTCCTATTTTGTTTGTTTACGTTATTTTCGTCAGCAGACAATCTAAACGTACCCAAATGTCTGTGTTGCCCGGTTCTCTTTTTGCTATACTATTTTGCTGCTGTTTTATTATGGTTAGTAATATATTATTTCATTGGTTATTGTTATTAATAGTCAATAGTGGATTCAGGCTGGTTCTAGAACGGCTATCAGCCACGTACACAATGTACAGTATAGCCAAACAGCGAACTAGCGCGCTGTTGGATACTAGGCCATCCGTGGTCAGTTTACATTCTGCTATAGATAGATATCTAGCAACCTGTATGTATTTTCTGCGATTGGAATAGAGGTTCCCGTTTGCCTATTCCAAGTGGCCCTTGAGCTGCTTTCCGACACCACCTGCCGGAGCTTGAATGACAAGTAGTAACATGTCTACGGATAGTTTGTTATGGTGATTATCTGCCGATATGTTGCCGATCGCCATCAGTAAAACCATTGGATCTGTCTCTCCCATAAGAAGTAAATAAAATCTTTAGATTCCACGCTATGTTGGCTACTAAATTGTTTTCTATATTTGTAATGGAGACGACAATTCGCTTGTTTCAACACGATTGGATGTAGTAGCACCGTCTTGTGAGAAAAAAAAGTTTTGAACTCGGAGACTTTGAATTCAAGATGCGATATGGTTCTGGAATCAGGAAACATTAACCGGACTATATACGCCATTGCAGAGAACCGTCTTACAGATATAGCTAATCAGAAAAACACGGCTATGCGAGAGTAGTACATTTATAATTTATGATAATATAACGGGGATGGCTTAAGCGCGTACGAAGTTCAAATCATGTCGTATAGTTTGAGACCAAGGTCAATGTTAATTTATCTATCATGAATGATTTGGAAGACGGAAAACTAAGATAGTGGATGGCCAGATATTGGCGTACCGATGGCTTTGTTATACAAAGCAACCATTAGGCAGTCAGAGAGCTTAAAGCAGAAGTTAAGACAATAATGATATAGATAACACCCTTTTCGTATTGACATGATGAGAACATAAATCGAATACATATGAATTAGATCGGTGTCAATCCGTCGAATAGCGGGAACTCGATGTAACTCAATTCAGGATAGCAGCTTTCTTTAGTAGATCACTGGTTTATATATTTTGCTTGTTTTTCACCAGTATGTATTGAGGGTCATTGATATTATGGTCAGGTTGGATGACAACTATACCAATGATTACTCACCAACAGTTATTACCTATTATTATATAGTGTACGGTAAGATTCCACAATCTGTTCATTATTTGAACAGACACATGATAAGAAACTACCAGCAGAAACATGCTACTTAGTATCTAACCATGTTAATTGTGTAGCTCGAACTCTAGAAATTGAAACATCGCTTGCGCGCGCAATCGCGGTATGGCAAAAAGCCCATTATAAAAAGGGCATCTGAGCCGAACAGAATCCTGCAGCTGTTCATTCGGAATCCCTCCCTCGACGGAATCCGCTGTCTTCAGTGAGGGGCAATCGACTGTGACCGTAAACTGTTCGCGTCATTTGCTTTTAAGAGAAGGATATCAGTATTTGCGTTGCGGAGTCACAAACACCATCACTCAATTAATTTCTATTAGTACGCTCATTACGATTTTCAATACAATTGTATATTACTGTAATTGTTGTAGGGTTTATCAGATAATATAGTTCATTGCAGAAGGGCGTCGTCAATCGCCACATTAAAGCGTCTGGGTCCTGTTCTGTGTGAGGTCATTTTGGACCATAAATCAAAGTAGATTGTTACGACTCTGGAGAACTTGATACATTAGGATACACATGGATTGTGCACAAGGGCACCAAGTGTTATTTATGGTTAAAAGTATTTATTATTTTGTTATTATCGTATTTTGCGTGTTTGTCTTTTTCGATTGTTTTTAAATTGTTTTAATACCGTGTCTCGTGACCAATAGGGTACCCTCCTTATTTTTATCTTGATTTTGTAAATAAAAATCATTGTTATTTAGACGTACTGCGTAAGATTCTTTATCGTATCTCCTCAGTCCATACTTTTTTTTTCTTATTATGGACATTCTCATTATATCTTGTTGATTTGTTATTACTGTTTTTTTCATAGGTATAAATTCATTCATTATTCGTTATGGAGTTTCTTTCTATTTACACAATGCGACTAGAACGCGTAAAAGCCGCCCGCCTCTGCCGACTCGGCGTAGCAAAAATCTTGTCTGTCCCAAGTACTATCATTATTTGCAGAACACCGCTCTTCGATTATAATCTATATGCAAAGAGGGCAAAGGAGGGGTTCTCGCAAAGAGCTTAGTTATGGCAAATCGAGTTTGCCCGCTGCGTAGCTTCCCTCGACCTTGGCTTTTGCTGCTGTCTTTCGTTTCTTTCGCTTTTCGTCGAATTATTGTATCGGAGAGGTCAGAAAACTCTGCGGCCAGTCACAATTTAGCTGTTGCTGAAACATCAACAGGGGATAGCAATTGTATGTATGACTTATGGCCCCAAGGCGAGATCACATGTCAAACCTCAACTCATCGCTGTACGAGGTTGACAAGGTCTCGGACTGTGTTATGCAGTTCGTCGAGGGTTTTTGCTGTTTGACTAACGTTATTATTAGTTGTTCCGCGCAGGGAGTTTCCTTGAGTTTCCAATCGGCTCATGAGTTCACGGAACTTGAAGCGTCCAGCAGGTGGAATGGTCTCCGAGTATGCTGAGCAGGTCGTGTGCAAGAGTTGCACCTGTGGAATGGATAATAGTAACGTAACTACGTCATTGTCTATGTATAATTTGCTTGGTGTACCGCAGAAATGTTTGGTTTGTGATTTCATCGACAATACTCAACTAAGCTCTCATAATGAACCGTCTAGACGTAACATAAAAATATTCTGATTTTCACACAATTCGAAACGCTTGGTTACTTCATCCTTTCTTATTAAAACCATATACAATTTCAACAGTTGATATCTTGCTCAGTGTACGTCTATCATACTTATATGGCTCATTTTTAGAATCTGCTCACCTTATCGGAAAGCTGTATAATGTGAGAAGAGGTGAGGGTGGTGGAGCTTTTGAGCGTGCCCACAGTCTGGGTGATGGCTGCAGATGTCTCGATAATCGAGGACTTGGTGTTAGCCACGCTTTCTCGATCGCCGGCCACAAGGGGAGCAGGCTTACTAGCCGGAAGGGGTGGCTTAGGCGCGAGTTTTTTACCACCGCCCACAGAGCCGATTCCTAGAACTGTCACAGTGAGTAACTATCTAACGAAGCTTGCTAACAACATGCATTGACTTTCAAACTACTTTCATTTTCTACAATAAACCAATATCCTTCAACGGTATTCATTAGATCATAATGAGCCCTGCAATAGTTACTTCATAGTCATATTCGTACATCATCTATTATGGCAATTTACTGACATAAAGAAGCTTACAAGTCTCGCGATTTTGTCAAAGAATTTATTATTACTACGGTTATTATTATTATTATTATTATTATTATTAGATATCTGCAAGCTTACCCATGGACTTGCTCTTGATGAGGGAGGGCTTGGTTGGGATGACGGGCTTTTCCGTCCCCTGGCTCTGAGTACTTAGTGCAGGCGCCCCTTCCGGAGTGCGGCCTTTACCTTTGACGTCTGTCGGAGGCTTGCCTGTCTTTAGGGTTTCAGGCCGCCCACCTCCGAGCTGTTGCCCTGTGCCTTTTTGGTTACTTCCCGGACTGATTTGACTACTGAGAGGGGAACTAGCGGCTACACTAGTTGAGTTGGGACTCGCGTGGAGACTGTTGTTAGGGTTCATCACATTGGGACTATTGGCGTTAACATTGACTTGGTTGTTGCTTGTTGTTCCCTCCCAGAGCTTCTTGAGGCTCGAGATACTCCCCGCGCTTTGTCGTTTTTCCTCTTCACCTGATGAATTTCCTGATGACGTTCGCCGCTCAACCTCACGCTCGATTCCAGATCCGATTCCGGCAGCTCCAGTCCCATTGCTAGCCGCCGCATTCCCATTGCGCACGTGCAGTTTCGGTGAGCTATTCTCTTGATTAAGCGCCTTAAGCTGCACGAGCGCATTTGTGCCTCCTTCAGCGGACTTTTTGGCAGCCTTTGCCTTAATGCTCTCAAAAAGCTCCGTAAAGAGGGGCGGTACTGTGGTTCCCGCTTCATCCATCTGCCTTTGAACCTGGGGATTGCTAGCGGCCACATGTCCGCTTCTATTCCGCTCTCGTTCCGTTTTACTGCTGTTATCCTGTTCTTTGTCTTTACGTTTTCTTTCCTCCTTTTCTCGATCTTTTTTGTCTTTCTTTTCTTTCTTTTTGCTTTCCTTATCCTTCGAGCTGCTGTTGCCATCTCCACCTTTCCCGGTGCTGGTGCTCGTAAAACTTACACTGACGCTAGTCTCTTCGCGCATCGAGTCTAGGTGGTCCACGCTTCCACTTTTGCGGGGCAGCTCGCTTGCCTTGGAAGGCGACTTCTTGATCGACCTTCTAAGGAACGACGAACCAAACGAGCTCAGACCACCCACAACACCACCACTACCGCTACTGCCGCCGGCGCCACTAATCGTTGTTGTCACTGACGTCGTGAGCTCTTCGGGCCGAGAATCGCGTTTCCATTTTTGATTCAGCTCCTCTGTAATGCCTCCGCCCTTGTTGTGGGTCAGGTCGGACTTCTGTCGTAGGAAGAACGGCGTTGCCAGGTTGTTGTCATCAGTCGCAAAGTTACAAACATTGCTGCTATTCGTGACATCGTGAATATTTGCTGCTGCTGGCGGCGGGGCCTGCCGCGACACCGAATAATGAACCATGTCACCAGATTTCGTTGGCGGCGGCGGTGCCGCGCCGTTCGGCACACCCGTGTGCAATCCATGCTGGCGTAAAGATTCAAGATACGCGCCAATGCGGGCATTCTTCGGCAAGGTACCATAACGGTTAATGGCCTTCTTCACATTCTGAACCTCCAAAGCCGCTATCTGCACCTGCTGTTCGTTGACCCTCCTCGGCGCAGCGCTTAATTTAAGTCCGCCAAGCGTTTGCTGTTGTGCATGTTGCTGTTGCATTTGCTGCTGTTGCTGCTGCTGGACCCGTAATCGCACCGGTTCCTCTTCATCGTTCTCGCACACCTTCTCCAGACTGCCAAAATTCTCCGTTGACGGCGTCGTTCCTTCATCTGGCACACACGAGCTGTCACGAAATGAACTCGTCCGTTTAGGTGGTGCCGGAGCTTGCTTTGCTTTGTTCGTTTTACCACGCATCTGTACGCTGCCTCCCTTCGATGGGGCGTTAGCACTTGGAAGTATGATGCCCATTTTGGCAACGGGCGACTCTTTCTTTGGCGTGAGCGGCATCGGGGCGATGTTTGCGGGCGGTGGCGGCAAATCTTCAAATTCGAAACTAGTAGAAGTGGTTTGCTGGTTCTCTAACTGACGCTCGACTTCTTCTTGGATTGACGAATGTTGGAACATATGCTCAAGCATTTCGAGAATCTCACGAAAACTTGGTCGGTCGGCTGCGTTCCATGACCAACACTTGCGCATTAGCTCATAGACACTTGACGGACATCCTGCAGGACAACCCATACGATAACCTGACTCGAGCATACGATAAACTTCCGAGAGGTCTACTCCCGGATACGGTGACATACCGTATGTCGCGATTTCCCAAAGTAGAATACCAAACGCCCATACGTCGCTCTTCGTTGAGAACTTGTTGAATGCCAGACCTTCGGGCGCTGTCCACTTAATAGGGAATTTCGCGCCCGCATGGGCTGTGTATGTGTCGTCGTCCCGCATCAGGCGAGCAAGGCCAAAGTCAGCCACCTTGATTAAATGGTTTTCGCCCACTAGACAATTTCGCGCCGCTAAATCACGGTGAATAAAATTGCAGCTTTCAAGGTAGGCCATAGCGGACGCTACCTGTGTGGCCATATGCATGAGAACGACGGCGTCCATACTCTCCGGCGATGACCCCCGTAGGTACTCTAGAAGGTTGCCGTGCGGCATGAATTCGGTGATGATGAAAAATGGAGGCTCTCGCGTACAAACTCCCATCAGTTGAACAAGGTTTGGGTGGCGCATTTCTTTCATGAGAGTTGCCTCTTCCATGAAGTCATTCAATGCCATAGTGTCTTCTTTGAGCGTCTTAACCGCTACTGTAATATTGTGCCTCTTCCACGTAGCTTCATATACATCACCGTACTGGCCACCTCCGAGCTTGTGTTTCATTACAATATCAGTTCGGTCAATTTCCCATTCGTCCGGCTCTGGAGATAACGCGAACACTGCAAAGATTCGTCATAAGCAAGCAAAAGATACAGGTAAAAAGGCATATTTCTGACAAGTATATTAGCTAGAGAAATGAACGATCAGATTCGGCCCGGTATACTTTAAAACACAGTACAAGAATCGGGTTTTTTGGAAAAAAAAATACGAAAAATAGCAGAGAAGCGCATGCTAAAAAAATAGCGTATTGTATGGTTCCGTTGTTCCTTGTCATCACAACAAATCTATAATAACACTACATATTTTTAGTATTCACAACTTTTCAATTTTTGGGACAAACTAAGAAGCTCTCTAAAAGAGATATTGAATGTTTAAAACTTTTGGACGGAAGTGTCTAGAAATAATAATGTAGTCTTTGAAAATGCTTGGACTTTACGGGTAGAAGTCAGAGAAATTGAGCAAAATTCACCCTCGCAAAAGCCAGGACGGCAGTTTATCGACGCATCACTTTCGTTTGACAAACCCGTCTCCTATTCGTCCGGGTCACAATGAACTAATATATATACATATATATATAAGCGTACACATTCAGCTTCGCGACTGTGATATTTATTTGTTCGTATATCACCTATATTATCGTAGAACTGTATGTAACTCATCCAAATGCAAATTACATCTCACAGCCATAGTCTCCTATGTTTTTCCCATGACAATATGTTAACAAAGTTCATATGTTTTTTCACCTAATAGTATGTCTTTTGTGGTTAAAACATTTTCTACTACTTACAAACAGTTACGCTTGTTACTCTTAGAAAATCTTAGTATGCTGCCTCGTTTATCTGTAAGACGGAGAAATCCAGTTGACAGATACTGATAAAGAAAGGCGGACGGTCTCCCGATGCTCTTCGATTGGGACGGAGCAAGAGCCGCAAGTGCTCATTTGCTTGAAATTCTCACTTGGCTTATTACAACATCAGATATCACTGATACGTGAAAAAGGATCCAGCTGCTCTCTTATTAACCGCTTGCACTCCGTACATCATCAGGAGCGTTAGGATTTTAAAAAGCGTCACGTCAGAAAGCATATGTCTAACATAAATTTTTCGCAACGAAAGGCCAACAAGCTAGAGTAACACGTAAATATTGCAAATTACATACGTCTCCCCATCTCACAAATAAACAAAATAGGTTAGAAATAATAGCTTAGCGAGCATTTTACAGGCATCGCCTTATCGTAACTAAGTTCATCGACGTTCTTTCAAACAATGGTTAAAAAATTGACAAATATTTTGCCAGGGCTGTCTCTGGCACCCGTTGCCCTTTAAGTGTTTCGAAATCAATATTGCAAAGGTGCATTAACAAAGTTGTACCATTTATACTGCAAGATATATGTTACCTAATACCCTGTTAGCCACGGCTATGATTAAAGGAAATTCGATTTATCGTACAAAAATGCTGTTTCTTATCCGTGACGCGTGGACCAATGTTCGTATGAAGAACATCTATGATAACTACTTTTCGAGCCATAATTTTATTGAATAGTAAAAAAGGGAGCTGAAAAGGGAGTAAGCAAGTGCTTCAACAAAACGATACTTACTGTTTCAAGGAGCATAGGTTACAAAAGGTTACTAAGTAGATTATGCCTCAAAAATGTAGTCATTTAAAAAATAAGTCAGCAGGTCGATAGCCATATAGGTGTTGCATCCGCTTCACACTGCCTTCACATCCGCCGTAACTGAGATATTATAAAAACATAGCAAAAATAGGTCATGTGGTATAATCAAAAGAACATTATGAATGCAAAATATTGTCTAAACATTCGTATCGTGTTTGCTGAAAAATAACTTAAAAATACATCCTCACATGGAAATATGCTTTATATCTAAGTTGCATGTTGCAGGACCATATGTGTATAACAATTATGTTAAATTAAACTGCTCGTTTCGCTGACTGGTTCGTAAGCTGAAATATTTAATAGTTACAAGATAAACTTGACTTACCGAACTGATTTTTACTAACTAATTATAATTCTTACTATAATTCATTATATTTTTTCTATTTTTGCTTAATTTTTAATCACTGAATAAAACAAGGTAAGAATGAAATACTAAGGCTATCCTATTTTTCACAGAAACGACCTAGACGTGTGACATGTATCGTAGCGCATATGGCGCAGTCTTGGAAAAATTCGACGCATGTGTTACCTAATCCCCTGCCTCGAAATGTATTCAGTGTTTGGCTTTGAAGAGCACCGAACTTCCGAACCATCCCAAAAAAATAAATGCATTTATCAATACTCTTCTACTTTTAGATTTTTTTCATTGCTAATTAGAATACTGCGAGCATTCTAACATAGTTTTTATATTCCTCCCGGAGGACTTAGAAAAAAAAAGCGACATTTCAATTAATAACCTCGCTTCTACTTTTTAAAAATCACGTTACAATCGAACTGGCGATTAGATTTAACTGTTAATTTTAATCAAAAATCAAACTGTACAACGAACCAGCTGGTTTGTTCCTTTTTGGAGCAGGATAAAGTAGTTGCGTAATCAGTCCATCAGCCACGAGCGAATGATGATGAACGAGCTCTGCGAGAGTGTTGAAACGGCACTCTGATGTGACATACACCTTTCCTCGATTACTTCCCCCGGTACAACTGCTTCCAGTTACGTCCTCGTCTGACACGTTAATCCTAGAAAGTTTGAAAAAGGTTGAAGCATAAATCCTGGCCATAACCGAGAGCGGATCCACTAAACAAATATAACCTTACAAATGAGGCGTAATTGACATAAGATACCTACAAGCACTGAGATTCGTTGTGTACATCTCGCACTCGATTAGGAACAAATATCTGAAGTATTTCGTGGAGCTTAAGTCTTTATCTTCAAAACAACGCTTATAAAATTATAATAAATATGGGAAGGAAATAATCGTCTACCAGACGGAAAAGTAGGATCGATTATACATCGATCCAGCCTGGAACGATCTGCAAGTAGTGCAGAGTACATTTCAAAACATAGCTCAGTTTACTAAACAGTGCACTTTATTCATGAAGTACATATAGACATGTCAATAAAAATCTAAATGTGGATTGTTGAGTTGGGAATAACTGCGATACCCAGAAGCTCATGTTACTTCAATAACACAAAGGAGAGATGCACAGTGCCGCCCACCAATATTTTTACTAGGCTGAAGGAAAAACGTAACAGTGTCAACAGCAAAACCGCAAAAAAAAAAGAAAAAAAATACCAGACTGAAGGAAGCAAGAGTGTTTACAAAAAGTACGGTATTTTAGGCTATGAAGATAAAAAAAAAATATAGAGGCAATGCGGGGTGTAAATTCGAAAATCCTACGCGTCCGTATCCAGCTAGTGCAGCCACAATCAAAACGTTTGCGGCCATTTAGAGCTGACTACTGTAAACAGTTTTTATAAATGATCAATACTTGGAGCTTTTGCTATTACGGAAGTAGTATGCTAGTATATAAAAATGTTGTTGAACAATTAACTGGTATATACGTAGCTTCGCTTGTTATCGGATTATCGTTTCGCCAACTTTTCACTTGAATTGCGGTACGGTATCTAAATTGTCTAGCTTTGTTCCAAGGTTTACAACATGCTCGTCTCGAAATATCGTAGTGAAAAAAGCTTCGCAACAATTCTGCGACGAATACTGCTTATCATTAAACCTGATCTAGCAATCTCCTGTTTTTTTTTTTGCTAATATGTACATTTGAATTTCGTCAAGTAAAGAGTTGGAGTGTAGTCATGCCGCTATGCTATTCTGAAGGTAAAAATTACTTTAAATTTCTATCAGTTGACAACAATGAAGTTATTAAGTATAGACTAACTAAACTGGTGTTCTTATTCACTTCTTCTTTTTCATGCTCAAACTGACCCAGCGGCACAAAAATAACCGCATTATTATTGCTATTATAAGCCCCTCACCGTTACCTAGTTATATGTAGTCTTTGCGAGGATTTATAAAGCACTGTAATAGCACAATATCTGTATAAGTTATTATAATTCAATCCGGTCTTTACGTAATTCCCATGCATGCAAGTCTACTCGACAAAAATCGTTGAGTTTGTATCTGTGTCACTGGTGGAATAGGTTACGCATTGACCCATCGAACTTAACTGGAAATGACCTCGGTTAGTACTTCACTGCAAGTCATTGGTCCATCGACAATACGTGGATGCTCTTACTACGAGGAGTACCAGCTATTCTGAGACTTGCTAAAAAAAAAAGATTAAGTTGAAGGCTTTTTCGGTGAGATCAGCTGCTACGATGCACCAAATAGGAAGTGTGGACACTGCAATGGTCGTAAACAGACGGACGAGAAGGTCCACACCTCGCAGAAGCATCAAGAGAGTTAACGATGATGTTGGCACCGTGTAAACTTATATAAGAAGGTCTCGAGTCCCCATTGAGGGACTTTTTGCAAACATGTTAAGTCTAAAAGCTGAAACCATTGTTCATTAGGGGGTGTCGACAGTATTTCGAGTGCCTAGCTATGTTTAATGATTTGGATATATACATTTAGATTTGGATTTTGTACAGACACAAATAGAGATTACCACTTGAAAAAAGATTTGTATCTCTAAAACAAAAAATATTTTTAAAGTCAAAAATATCCGCTCTTGGCGTTCACTTTACGATGCTATATTACAATCGTTTTAATGTTGCCTAAATAAAAACAACCTTACCTTATAGAAGCATTTGTCTCACACATGCGTGTCAGGAGCTAGGTCACAGGCATTGAACGATTTAAATGCTAGCAAAATCTAATAGTTATCATATATCTATAGATTACTTGAAAAGCACATGAAAGGACAGAAGCAAAGTGGTATAGCTGCTTGGCAGGAACACATGACTTGCAGTTCAACCCCATGCCTCTACCCCTTTTCGAAAATTTCGAACATAAACCAATTTCTTATGCAGACAGCGGCATAAAATTACAATATATCCTGGCTCGAATATTCATTTAATGAAATAAGCAACATGAGGCCTAACAAATCCCCTTTTCTTTCTCCTATTGTTTTCTGAAAGTTCAAGATAATTGTTGAATGACGAATTGTTGGTAGTTCTGATGAGAAAAGGTATTTCTGGGAATAAAAGAACTGTAAACAACTAGTTGAATGGCGCACAGTGACTTCATCATATGCTACACGAACCTGTAATGGTAAACGCGGCCTTCACATCGAAGTGAGATCGACCTCTGCCCTGGACTCGACTCGCTTTCACGAACCAGAAAACTGCCATTAATGCCTGATGACAGCAAATACTCAGCGGCGTTCCGGGAGATCGGACCATGGTACCATGAATGTTTTTCCAGAGAGTTTGCAGGAGTAATATAGTTGGCAGGGACCCAGCCTACCTGTCCTGTACGTGATTGAGCCTCACACCATTCATTTGTTTTGTTGTAAGAGAGAACCTTGATCTGAAATAAAAATAGGTTCGGTTAATCTTTACTTTGTTAACATGCACTTTAATGGTTTGCAAATTTGCTGCTAACATCATTCCCAATTAAGATACTCAACTTAATTTGATTGCTGAATAAAACTGTTAACTTAAGATGAAGTTATTAATTATTATTGCTGTGTTAATAACTGTGTTACGTCCGCGATCTAATGTAAGCTGCATTCTATAACTACTAGAATACTACTAGTCGTTTTCAAGTAAGCAAGGATATACATAGAGATAACTAATTAAAGGTATTTCACTTCGACCGATACTTTAAGTTGTTAATCACCCAGGGAATATAGATGCAACTCTCAGTTTTCATAATTGACCGTCTTAGTTGCCTCTAACTCTTCAGCCCACAAAGTTTTCCGAAAACCTAATTTTATTATGGGTTTGTCTTTCCTGAACTCATTGTAGCCTACATTGACGCAGCGTTATGCACCGAAAATTTCGAATCATATGTTGCACAGAAGATCGGTGCGAGAGTGAAACGTGCGCCGTGCACATTTGCTATCAGGCTGCGTACGTGCAGAATGCAGTCGTAAAGTTACGTTCTAATAGCAAGAGAAGGGTATGAGACCACCTTTCTTGAAAACAGTTGAATGTTCCACGTGAAATGCCGTTGTATCAACCGTGTGGTGAATTAACTGTGGCATTTATAGCTTTTTTCCGTGTGTAAATGGACTTAGGCTCATGTGTGACGAAATCGAATAAAACCCTGTCAATTTTACGCTCTTTTTTTCCAAGCCATAGATAATGCGATAATCAAGCAATACTGGAAACAAAGACACTTAAACCCTCGATTACTGAATGCGCGATACCAGCTGTCTCTGTCTCCAAGGTAAACAAAATTCACGAAAAGTGACTGAGGATTGTGGATCAAACAGTATGATTATAGAGCGGGAATATTTTGTTTTTGTTCTCTCTAGCTTACTTAACTGGACCTGTTTGGTACGCTAAAAGTTTGGTACGCCAATTACTAGGTCGGTTCGTCAGGGTCTCCACCAACGGAGCAATATGCTTTTAAAAGCTGCTATTGCCAAACTGCATTTAAAAAGGTTCTACTTTCTATGAAGATGCCTTCTTGCCGAATCGATTTGCCTAGTTTAATCCAGATATTTACGATAAGCTTTTGATGACTTTCGAATGCCATTAATCCAAAGTCAGATATCCGTCTGCAAATAATTTTCTCACATCATAAACGTTATGTACATACATGAGCTGCGTAAAATTGCGGCTATATCTATATTTTTATGAATATTTGCTCTGAGTTTTACCTGATCTCCTTTGGCAAGCGCGAGCTGGTTGTCCCCCCCAGCTTGGAAGTCGTATAATGCAACAAACACATCTGAGTCGGCTGAACTTGTAGGATCGTTGTCATCGAGGAGATTTTCCTTGGATGTCCATGAGGAGTTGGCCGTCACCCACAATTCGTCGGGTATTCCTCCGACCGGAGGTACGGAAGGCAGAGGCCGATGTTGAACGCCCAGTTGGTCACAGAAGAAGTCTGTAAAGAAAATTCAACACAGTCAACCTAAATAGCTAAACTGTTGTGTATGAGTAAAGTACCATTTGGGTCTACGATTCAGACAAAAATAGGGTAAGTTAATAAGATTTCAAAATATGTGTCGCGTAAGGGGTTAAAGGTTATAACGAAAGTAAATTGTTAATCCCTAACACAAGGGACCGATAGCTTCTTTTCGCGAAATTAACTTCAAAACAAGCAACTCTAACTTTTTGAATCGATCGAAAAGCTTTTGCTGCCTATTACAATAACTGCACATTTATGAACTACAGATAATATACTGTTACGTTAATAAAAGCCGGATTCGGTTCTTTCGGATCAATTCGGATTAGTAATGGCAAACTGAACTACCCGTACTAACACAATCGTAGAGCAATCGAGCCTGTCTAGATGAACGAGCAGTAGGCGGAGTCTGTTCGCAAGGAGATAATAATGTTTACACAAATGGGGCTTTTCCTGTTGTTGTTATATCTGAGTAGCGGATCTGCAACCCCTTTAGACCATCAAGTGTTATCTCTTACCCCTTTTATTTCCGTTGTTCAAATGAGCATTTAATCGGAAGACGCACTTAACAAACATTAGTTAACCGTTACTGCGAAGTCTACTTTATACATATAAGAAAAAATGCTAAGTCCACATCAGCAACGAAAACAGTAATCTTCGCTGCACCCTTTGTCTATTCATAATAGCTATTTGCCACACGTCGAAAACATGATAGTTTATAACACGTCGTATGCGTCAGGGCGTCTGCTTACTGCATCCGTATCATCGACAAAGCCCAACTAAGTAATACTTCTTGCAGTTTTATTAAATACGTTTTCCCTTACGCCACCTTCCTGCCCTCTCTCTTGCAGTGTCACTATAATTACATATGGTATGATATTTTGTTAATGCTTATTCAACGTGCGTTTCTCGTCGTAGAAACACATAACGATTCAAACTGGGAGGTGAAGCAGTAAAATCGAGCTGTAAATTATCAATGTCATAGTTAACTTCTGCCAATGACAAGAGGCGCGTTTCCGAGTTCTACGTACTTTCCTTTCGTTCTGGCTTATATATATCGTTCCCATAACGAGAAGGCTCGTCATCGTCTGCTCCGTAACGGTTGCGCGCGTTCATTTTGCAAACAACTTTCAGAGCTGTGTACATGGACGAGAAGGCGGAGGCACACCACGACGTCAATATTCAAATCACAGTGGCAATAGCCGAAACAGCAGTAAGTACCCGAAACTAAAACAATGACCATGTCATTTTTACGATCACATGGAAATAGTCTATGAACGTCTAGGCGGAGCGCTTGTCCCCCTGTGGCCGTTACTTTCTGACTACAGATCGCCATTGACTATTGGTTCAGGCAGTCTGGAGGCCCCGGCGTTGGCTGTAAACGCGACTGGATAACCTTCATTCTCTTAGGGTGCCCTATTAATCGTACTCTTGGAAGGCAATAATTATTGTACTAATATTTTCGGCTAAAACGGTGTTTAACAAGAGGAGGTGACATTCCAAATTCGATTTTTTTCAGTCTACTAATATTTATTATAATATAAGGTCCATTCTAGCAAATGCATAGGATTGCATTGAGTTGATTGGACAGGTGGTACTTAGAATAAAAAAGAATAGGGATGTTTAGCTGATCTGGTGATCTCCTCTCCTCTCGGTATGAGTAAAAATAACCACTACATCTAAAATTCTGGAAGTAGCAAACGTATACTACTGCTAACACGTTGGTAGAACTCTAGCCGACTACATTAACACATTTTAGCTCGACTTGCTGAAACTCGTCGTGTTCGTGCGGTGTTCTAGTTTTTATGGCCTTTCAGTAAGTTTTGTAAATCAAAGACATTTTTTTCTAAGTAGAACATTCGCTTGCGAAATGCTATAATAGCGATCCTTGAAATTAGCTACCATTCGGGCCAATCAAATTAGAAAAAGGGACTTAACCTAATTCATGGATAAGAAGAACGCTTAACTATAGTTGTGCCTAAACCACAGACATTTGCGGTGCCTGACTGCATTACGATCCTTATGTGGAATTGATGATCAGCTGACTCAATTAATTATTGAAAACTATGCTTTTTTAACCGATCGTGCACATGCCAATCTGAAAGTGACCGACGCTTTTTATTTATGCCTAGAGACAATGTATTTTACACGTATACAGACCAGCCGCAACCACTATGCTATGCAGTAAAGCAATCTGGTAGAAACAGAATCACAATTTGAAAAAAAACTATCAAGGAAACTAAGCTTGTCCTCATTTGCACGGATAATAGTTTGTTGAATTATGAATCATAACATATATATCCCCGCCAGAAAACACACGCGAGGATATGCTAATGCTTGAACAGTAGTAAAGAGCATCATTAGAAGTGAACGAAAGATGTCCGTGCAATGTTAAATTTACAACTGGGAATTGCATTATTACTTTAAAAACCACTCCTATTAGCTAAGATCAAGATAGGCCTCTTGGCACTTATTAACTTAAACACATGTGCCTATATACCTATCAAAATACTAGCAAAATTGACCTTTTCCTTCACTCGGACCAGCCCTATTTTTTATTGATTAGTGCAACGAGCTCACCACATGTTTAACGTTTTATTTATAGGAGTCGAGCCGTTCTGTCGCAAAAAAGCTTGTTTTTTCTTTTTTATCTCTTTGAAAAGTTTGTTGCCCTCTTACCAATATACACTCAAAATGCGTACACTTGTATATCACACAAGATATTTAAGATCGTTATTGAACGCCACTTTATTGCCAGCAACCATGAACCGTTCCCTAACATTTCCCAGAAAAACATATCACACTGCCAAAAAAATATGTCACATCTGGGAAAAATAACTGCGAGGTTAAAATGTAATATAATTTACGTGCACGCTACAGGTTAAACCCTATCCCGTAGCTGTCTCTCTTCTTGCCTGGCTTGTATATAACCTCTATGGCAAACTGAGCCTGTTGAAAGTACTATGGGTAAGTAAGCAAGTTCAAACAAATTTTGTTAGGCTGGTTGTCATAGAGGATATTCGTTTGTCTACTGTTTTCAAACTTTAAATTAGAAAAAGACCAACTTGTATTAAAACATAACAACACTGTGACAAAACAACTGTACGGCGTTTTCTTTAGTTTCCTCTGTTATGCAATGTTTTCACGTTGGACAATCCCCCGCCAACCTTAAACACATCTTTTTTTTGCTCGTAATCAAGGCTTTCGACATTCTTATGCGGCTTCTGAAAAATCCGTGAAAAATATGCACAAAACAAACCTAAAGATCCTCAGTTGAGTTTAGGTTTAATGGTTCGAAAAATGACCCATAAAAATTGTTCTTAATATAACCCAGATATTCTTTATAAAAATCATCGGCGGTTTGGAAAGCAGAGCATTAACTAAAAATTGTTTCTCCCAAATAAGTTTCAACGGCTAGTCTTCTTAAGACTTTTCTTGATTTTAGAAACTACGAGTTATTAGTTTAATACATCTAGCATATTTATCAGACATAACAAACACGGGAACAGCGTCTCACAATTTTTCGAGAAAAAAATGTACAACTAGGTGTACTATAAGCTTGGACTTAGTTGTTTAACTTACAAAAACCACTGACAATTGTAATACATATGTATATATACCTAGATCCCAAAAATTACAATTGACTTCAGATCAAAGTGGAACTTGAATTATCGTAAAGAACATTTTAAGATATGACTATCGTGATCATGATAATGAATACGCTTATCAGCAATATCCATATAGCAAGAATCTTTGTCAACGAGTTAGTCAATAAAGGATCGAACTAACTCGTCGAACACTGCCACCCTTCGTTGGCTCATATCAGAAAGACTCTGACGAAATTACAGATATTTAGAATTCATTACAGAAAAGTTTTATCCCACAGTAAAATTACACATTTCAACCAATGGTCTATAACTGCCAAGTAATTTGTCTATTTGTTAACCTCTCGTACGCCCTACTGGGGTTTGTGTTGCCCAAGGCCTATTATAAAAAGAATAATAATAATAATAACACTAATAAATAAAGTTTGTCAGTTCTAACGCACATGTTAATCTGCACCCTACCACCTCGAGACTGAATAGTATTTTAGATGGGCATCGAATTGTAGCATCATATCAAAGCCAAAGTGCATCATATGGACAGATGTCTTAAGTTCAGAGTGAGAAAAATATAGAGAGCATACGTATTAACAGAAATATTATTAAAAGTAAACCTACATTTCATATCCCCGCAAAGAGTAACTTTTCTACAGTCTGGAAATTATTTTGTCAACGATTCATTCACGCCATTACGGCAATATGTACTACCCACAAATATAAATGTCTTGCATGTTCATTTAATTTCCCGCAGAATTAAAGCCTGTTGCCGTTTTTCCATCCAGTCAAAGGATTAATTTACAGCGATGTACTAGAACAAAGTCGTAGTGCTAGTAGCAGTCGTTCTCCAGAAAAAGTTCGATTTTCTATTACATAACACACATATACACACGCACCCACAGCAGCACAGAGACAAAACCGAAAAAATAACAGCGGGAGCTGAACGGGACTTTGTGAGTTTACCCACAATTCCTAGCTATAAGTTGTCGAGTTGATGATAGCCTTTGGTTTGTGGAAACGGCTGTGGGCAGTCGCTGTTCTCTAGAAGAATGTAAGCTGAAATAAAAAGAAAAAAGTGCGAAGTATGCTTATACCCCTGTACTTATTCTGCGTCATAACGGGAGTCTCGGCTCAGTTAAGTTGAAATCGGGGATCCGAGCGATACATAATAGAACACAGACAAAGAAAGAAGCCTGGGAAACTCCCTTTTCCCGCCACCCTCGGAAACTAACTCAAGCGAACTGAAAGTAGAAACAAGAATCGCTAACCGCTTCTTTTTCAACGTCATCGCTATTTTGCTGCCAGTTGGTCGAGGATCTCAAGGCTCTATAAGGGCCTATAGCGACAACAGTGGGGAGGGCGTAACTCAAAAAGACCGAT